AATCTAAACAGGACACGAAAGTGGTTCTGAAAGTCAAGTAGGAACTAACAAAAGGGAAGATAAAAACAGGAGCTCCTAAGAACAGTGAGGCACTGTTCTCTGACAATTTTATGAGGTGGCCAAGACATAAAAAATAATATAAAATAAAGGCAGAGATAAACATAAATAATAGTACGATCTTATTAGAGAGTCCAGAATTGTTTATAGATTAAGAAGCCCAGATTATATAGTCTGGATTAAGAAGTTTATAGATTTCCGTAGTAATAAGATAACTTCAAAAGAAGTTATACATTCAATTCCCAGCACCACATGCCACACCAGCCCCACCCACAGGTGCTCTGAGTCAACCACCCAGACTGGGTGTGGTGGGGCCCACCAGTAATCCTAGAACTGGGGAGGCTGAAAACAGGAGGCTCTGTGAGACCCTGTACCAAAAACATAAAACAAACAAAAAAAACTTACACATTTTAGTTGACCTACTCTTTTGTTTAACTACCCTGAACTTTTTAACTCATATTTATATTTAACTGATAAATAAAACATAAAACAAGATATTTATGAGATGTGATATAACATTTTAATACATATATGTGTTGCATAATATTTTAAATCAAAGTTGTTGTAATTTTAAAAATAGTAAACACATTTGCTCCAATATTTATAATTTCCTTTGTGGTAAAACCTTTCAAAATATCTTTAAGACAGAGCCTTGCTATGAAAAAAGCAATTGTGACTACCGTATGCAGAGTGGTTCAGAGGAAAACCTAGAGGCTACAGAGGACATTATGGACACCCAAGTGAGAGACCCGAAGGCTCAGAGTAAAGCCATAGCCAGGAAGCTCAGAATGTGAACATACTCAAGAACACAGAGCTGATAGAAAGGAAGGCAGAGGTCAAGAGAGGTGCAAGACAGTGAGCAATGGTGGGCTCCTTCCCTGAGAGGAGCCCGACTATAGGCTCAGCCTCAGAGACACTGAGCATAATGGGCTGGGGAGAAGTTCAATTGTTGACTGAATACAAAATTAGCTACTGATTGAATAACCCTGACCTAAAATCCTTGATATCAGAAGGGTTTTTTTTTTTTATTTTGAGGGATTTTTATATTTGAGAATACTCGCACATACATGGTGAGATATCTTAGGGATAGGATCTAAGCCTAGACCTGAACTTTATTTCTTGTTTCATGTATGCATCATACAGACAGTAACTTTGTACATTGCTCTTAATAATTTGGCTCATAGAGTCTCATGGTGTAAAATTTTCCACTTATAGTTCCCATCGATACTCAAAAAGCTTTAGATCTTTGGAGAAGCTCTGAATTTGGATTTTAGGATTAGGAATGCTCAAGTTACACAGTTCTTTTTCGTGGAATGAGTTGAAATGCTCTCTGTACTCCAACAGGAGTTCCTCGTTCATTTGGTGCAACTGAAATCAATGTTTTTCTATCTCAAAAGAGAAGTTCTATAAAAATATCCTGCGACTGCTCAGTGGCCAGCTGGACGATGGGCACTGTTCTTCATCTCAGTGTTAACAGGAGACCTGTGTAAGGTGGAAGCTTTTGCGTCATCACAACAACGTCACAGTTCCAAAGCTGATGTCTTCCAACTACTCTTTTCTGTATTTTACTAGTATAACTTGCCTGGTGTCTGATCCCTTTCATTGACCCTTTTTTTTTTTTTTTTTTTTTTTTTTTTGCCCTATTTCTAATTCACAAAAATCAATCTGGTGCAAGCCCAGTCACCAAGAGAGATCCCACAATGTTAATCCATTGATTGCTTAGCACACCCCAACACACCCAGAAGGTCTGTAGTGAGTTCCACTGGCACTTGAACAATAGGGGGAGCTTCAGGAAAGGCAGGTCTCCTTGTTCCCACAGAGAAAGACAAATCACCAGCTCTGAGGTCCCGGAACCATTCCTTTCAGCACAAGTATTACCAAGTTATTTGGAGCCACTCTTCTAGGGAGCACTCTCAGTTTGGAGAGTGCAAGTAGCTCTGTCTTATATATAAAAAGCTGAAATGCACATTTTATTCAAGTATATATATCCAGGGCCGGTGAGATAACTCAGCTGGCTAAGCACCTGCTTAGGCAAGCGCCGGGAGTGGAGCTCAATCCCTGGCACCAAATGCCGCGCCAGCCCCACCTCTGGGCATGCTAAACCAGCCACCAGGACCACACGTACATGCTCACCAGGTGCATGCCTCCCAGAACTGGGGAGGCTGAAAACAGAAGGATCACTACAAGTCCAAGCTACATAGTGAAACCCTGTATGAAATACAGAAAGAAAAAAAAATCTATCAAAAGTACAACACAATAGCATTGCATTTGGCTACAATGGACTTGTGCTCTTACTAGATTTGCCTAGATTTGTCTAGATTGCCAAAGCATGACTTAGTTGGATAGTCATGTCTTCCCTGTTGTCAGCAGCATTCAACATTCCTGGAAGAGAGGTTCTATCTGCAGATTCCCTCAACACATAAACATCTTTGCTGATTGCAAATGAAGACATCTCAAAATATGACCACAAAATTGACTTCATTTTTAAAAATGGAATATAGACCTATCAAAAGTTAATGTTCAAGACATTAAATGATAAAACAATAATTAGAAGAACCAATTAAGTTCTTTGTGTAAAATGAATTTAAAATTTTAGTAAGAAAGAAGAAAGATAACATGATGTGGTAGAAAGGAAAATGCCCTGCCAAGTGGAGATCAGCATTAGCTTCCTCAGCTCAGTTCTGCTACCACTTAACTATGGGTTTGCTATTAGATGGCTGCATGCCTCAGCTTCCTTTTTCTGTCAAAGGCAGAAGGTAGTAAATCTCACACATTCTTCTCCATAAAAGAAAATAACTACTTAAGATATATCACTTAATAGTTTTAGAAGATTTTACTTTTGTGGGGCTTTTATTGATTCTTATTTTCTTGATTGTACATATCAGTGGACTGCCTTTTGGCAGATTCATGCGTGCATATAACATACTTTGATCACTGATAGCCTCCCACTACCTCCTTGGCCCAGACTTTCCACCTTGTTTCTCATCGCAGGGTGGGGGATCGGGTTCAACATGAATACTGCATTTTCTTTATGCTTTTTGTTTCAGACTTTGAGTTTTATACAACTATGGCTCATTCAACTCTGTATTTTACTTGAAATTTTATGAACTGAGGAAATTCAATGAAAATGGTGGCAAAGGCAAGAAAATAATGCATTCTTATCCTCATCTAAGTAGAAAGGTTGGTCTGGCCTCTACCTGTAATAGCAGCATAAAACTGTCCCCGAGCTAATGTTACAGAAGCACTTAAAGCAAGGCCTATGCCACCAGCCCAGGCAGCTACATATCAGGAACTAGTACAAATCTGGATCAAGTTCAGTGTGTCCTTTAAATATATGCATATTCTAACTATTTAATAGAATTTTTCATTAACTATTTAATAGAACATTTAATTCAGTCAATTAGCTTTCCTAGCCTCCTCTCACTACCAAGTGAATCCAGTGATTCAAGCTTTTCTCCCTCAATAAAAAGGGGTCACTGAAATAATCACAACATTATGCTTTGAAATTTCAGTTTCACCTAACTAAATACCCTCAAAATATCAGTATGTCTTCACAATGATAAAATTTTCAGAAGCATCCTAAACCTTGATGTGGGGCACTTACGTAACCTGAAGCCTGGGCTGCCCACGGTCTCACATGCAGATACAATGCAGGCTGCCACACTCGTTGGTCACACTGTATGTACATCCACTTACACACCAGTTGCCTGTGCTGCAAGATGGGGGTGGACAGGGACCTTGCCTACTTAAGCCACAGTCCACCAAGGAATCTGTGGTCACTAGCTTTTCCTCAGCTGCCAGGTCCTACGTATGGCACATCTTGGAGACACAACAGTTAACATATTTGTTATTATTGATATCTGCTGTCAGGAGCTGGCAGTGTCTCTGCCAACCTTTTCTATCTTCTCCATGTTACAAATGAGCTCAGTCTGTACATCTTGAGCAGCGTCACATTTGTACAGAAGGAAGCTGGAGAAACTGGAACGAAGATTCATAAGCTGACACCTAGACAGCCCAGGTACCCAGGTGAATGGACCTAGTCATAGGACTGTATCAGGAAAGGAACTGAGATCAGCTCCAGGCCATCTCCCATATAGCCAAGTTTTCCCATCCTGAATGATGGGGAAGGGAGATTAGAAACTGTGAAAAGCATGGAGCAGTGGGACAACTTCATTTACTCCACTGAGTTGAGAGGGGTATTAATCCAGGCAAGCAAAACAAGACAGAACACAGGTTACAGGCTTTCAGTAGGCTTTAGCTGCTCCATGCGGTGAGACCTTGTGTAATTTTTCCCTATTGTCCAGAGCTAAGTTTCTCTTCATATATAGCACTAGAATGAGATTAGGATAGATATACAGCTACTTTCTTTTAATTCGATGAGAAGATTTGTACTAATAGTGTTTGGACAGGCTATCATGTCTGCATCTTGTGCTATGAATAACCACTACAAAGACAATATGCAATTAGTAATTACTGAAACTCTCCTATTAATAGGTTTTGAAACTGTCTCATTGTTATTTATTTCTCAATAAAATTAATAAAAAATAAAATAAACTTGAAAGAGCGAAAAAAAAAAAGAACTAGAATAAGAAACCTGATGAGGCTTCCATGAAGAATTAAATAAAATTATTATGGCAATCTATTATAATACTGAGGCCCATGTCAATGTTTAGTAATGGCCACAATAATTTCATCATTTTGTTAGCATAAATTTATAGGTATGTTTTCAGGAAGAAATACTTTGGGATGCCAGATGAGATGCTGTCTCTAGAACCAGCTTGTCTGCAGAAGCTGTGATGCTTTGGTTATTTACAGAGGTATTGAGTTCTCTCTGTTCTGGGAGAACTGGTGTAACCCATACCTTGGCATGTGCTGTACTCAGTCAGCCTCTCCTACGTTCCTCAATCCTAACACTAAGCAGGGGCCTTCCCCTGGGGCTTTACCTTGCTGCTTCTGCATAGTGGTAAAATCTTCGAAGGTGAGTGTGCGCACGGGAGGTCTCCAAAATGCATAAGTCTCCATGATGGCTTCAAGTCCAGTTCTGGGGAAAAAAACACCAGAAAATAAAGTTGTAAACACTCCCAAGAAATTCACTGGCTTTTTCAAGATCCACAAAAAGTGGGTGCTGTGACAAGTGGCATAGGATAGGCACCAAGGGAGAACACTATCAGGATAAGTTAGCCTAGAAAAGCACAAGGTACAAAGATGCCACAATGTAGAAAGAACAAATTCAACTCGTTCAAATTATGTATAAGCAAACCTACAACTGCACTTAGGGAAAACTCACTCTGACCTCTCAGGGGGGTTGATATGCATGAAAAGAGCACACAAAGTGTTAAAGACCAAAGCCACTGGCCGTGGGCGTGCAGCTGTGCAGAGCACACCACTGACTGCTTGCTCAGCCCAAGATGACACCATCCTCACGACCACATTACCACAGGTGCAGCCCATCCCAGAGTCAGCCCTACACCGGGAAAGCGGCCAAAATGATGTGGCCTCAAAGTTTTGTTAAATCAACAGAGATGACTGGGTGGCAGAAATGAAAGGAAAACAAATAATCAAACAGTTTCGATTGCAAGGAGAAACATCTAGCTGAAGGCAAAGAAGGCTTGGACCCACAAGATAGATCTCAGGCAAAACAGACCAATGTATTTCTCCAAATATTTACTTGTATTTGCATAACCCAATATTCTAGCTGGTCTTTAATACAAACTAGCAGATTTCAGGAGCTACCCAATATTTCATACATACGTTCCGTTATGGCTTCTCATTCATTGGCATTGGGTATTTACACTATACAGGGCATAATATAAATTATTATTGGTATTGGTGTTCATCTAGGTACTCACTATCTGCTCTGTCCTCCCTTTAACTGCTTCTATCATCTTCATTAGGAGCTCAAATCCATCATTTTCAGATAATTATCCAGGTTAATTAATAAGATTATCTGGCATAATCTCACTGATACTCTATATCTTCAAATTGAAGTATTGGTTGAGGCTTTGATTAAAGCTTCAGCACAGCTTCTTGATGTTTGATTTTCCTGAACAATTGTTTCATTTCTATCTAGGCTGAGAGAAAGGAAAAGTAGAGAAAGTAACAGAAGGCAAATGGAGGAAGGGAGGTGGTATGGAGTCCCTTCCCAGAACAGACAATCTTTGTCTTTCAAGATGAAATGAATGTTGTCTGTCCTCTCTGATAGTGAGCTCTCTTCAATATTACATGCCAGAATAAAATGAAACATTTTGGGTAAAAACAAATATGCTTTTCTTATAAATAGCTATAGCTCTGAGGTTCCCCTCAGATTGTCTGAGTTGGAACATTTCCTCCCTGACCAGGAGGTCTCACTTGTATAGTTAACTTTCTAAAGTCTTCCCTGGAATCTTGGAGGCTTTAAATACACCAGTGTTGGCAAATCAAACTCTGTATTTTAAGAAGGGGTTCAGAGGAGAGAGTGCTGCCTGGTGTTTATTAGCTGTTAATCTGTGAGAAGGAGGAATAGACGACATCTCCACCTACCCACCCTACGTTAATGCTGAATACAGTACATGAAACTATTTATAGTGAGAAATAGCCTGGGCAATTAGAGAGTTCAGAATAATCAAAGGATAGGTAGATAAAGCCATGCTGAGCCCTGGTGGACAGAAGAAATAGAGAGGCCAAGCTTAGATGTCACTGCTTGGTTTTGGAATGTTGGTGAGCCACCAGATCACTTCAGGATTCCCTTTGATGGCACGAAAGGCTCACGCAAATGGCAGTGTTTTTATTGTCCTACTGTCTATTCCAGGCTGCCCAGGAACATTTAACAATGATGAGGACATAATGCTAGCCCAAGGACAAAGGACAATCCATGCTCAGTTCATATTCAAAGCTAGATGAGAATGAAGTTACAATAACAAGCACATATCCTGCCAGTGTTATTTAATAAGTAGAAAATCAATTTAGTTTTCATCTTCATGATTAACAAATAAAGCTGTGCCGACGATATGGGTGAGTTATATAAGCAGCTGATTTTATACTATAAAACAGTGGCCATGTGTCCATTTTTCCAAACCTTAATATCCAACTAAAAACAGAGTTGTAGAACTGTACATTGAAAACCTGGAAATTTGGACAGGATCTTGGGTATCACTCACTCACCTAGGACATCATATTTGATTGTTATACAGACCCTCGTGGCATGTTACCTGAGGAAAATACTCATTTTTTATTAGCTGTGTTAGAAAGTTCTTTCTGAGGGCTGGCCAGATAGCTCAATGGATTAAAGCACCTGCTTAGGCAGACACAGGGATCGGTATGCTGGGCTGGCCCCAGCCCTGCCCCCGGGGTGTCTGTCCTGAACTGGAGACTGAGTCTGGGCATGGTGGCATACACCTATAATCCCAACACTTGGGAGGCTGAAAACAAGAGGATCACTACAAGTCTGACCTGTGTAGTGAGACCCTGTAGACCCGGTACTAAATACATTAAAAATGTAAAAAGAAAGAAAGCATGTTCTTTCTGACATGTGGCTAACATTTTTGATATAGCTTCCCCCCTATGTTCCTGCACCACTGGGAAAGTGCAGTACTTCCAGGCATTTCTCATTATGATTCTCCTGATTCTGGCTCTTGGGGATACCTGCCTTGGGTTAGGGACGCAATGTACAGAATATCACGTGTAAGCATGTCCATGGTCCCTCAAGCAATGGCTGTGATAGCAGAACTAGGGAAATATAGGTTCTCACTTCCTCTAAACAGTGAATAAGACCTGAACATTACTGATCACACTTTACTAATCCTGTATGGATCCATCTCTCATACACTTATATTCCATAAGTCATAATATAAATTATCCTATAGCATGTACTACCTATTCTATAGGATGATCTACATCTCCCAAATCTATATGGATCTTTTTATGCATTCAGTATTTCTTCTCATGAAAAACCAATCCTATTCATTTTCTGTATGCCATAGCTTCCAATGGTCCTTAAATTCTATTAATAAATATATTACAGTTGGGTGTGGTGACACAGCAACATTAGACAATTCATTTCTACACATCACTAGCATGTGTGTATGTGAGAGCTTTGGATCTCATGTTTTTCTGTGCCCCAGTGCCCACCACAACATTAGATTCCAACTGACATGCATTAAATTAATACAGAAATAAACGTTTTATTACAGTCATTGTTTAATAAATTTTAATTTGTATTCACTTTTTCCTCAACCTAAAAATTTATAAAGGAATCTTAGGGCCAGTCAGATAGCTCAGCGGATTAAAGTGCCTGCCTAGGCAGATGCAGGGGCTGGGGGTTCGATCCCCAGCTTGCCATGCCAGCTCTGCCCCCAGAGTGCACTGAGATGGCAAATGAGACTGGGCGTGGTAGAATGGGCTTGTAATCTCAGAGCTTGGGAGGCTGAAAAACAGGAAGGATCACTACGAGTCCAATCTGTGTAGTGAGACCCCATAAACTATACCGAAGGACATAAAAGAAGCAATCTTAAATAAGATAAATTGAAGATCAAAGGAATTCTCTCATATTAGAGATCAGGATCTGAGAACTATGTGCAGGTATTTATTAACAGAAGGCTCAGAGATTTTGGTTTTCTTCTGTTTCGGTCGTGGAGTTTCTGACTGCCAACAGAGTATGGAACCCTTAGGAGAGGCCAATCATTTTTACTCTGCATACCTTCTTATGAGAGTCCTTGAGAGCTATCCATCATATCTTCAAACATTTGGATATCTACTAGGAGTTTATCCTCTGCCATATGGTGTTTACTTATTCTCTATCATTTAACCCTTGATTCATAAAAATCTACCTCTAGGTACAGTAAAATTGGATTCACCACAGAAGAAAAGAGCTGTCTTAAGTAAACATGCTTTATTAACATATTCCACAGGTGGATCTGTTTGGATCTGTTGCACACCAGAGACCTGAGTCATCTCTGAGGCTTCCAATCAGAGGTGCTCAGACTGCCAAGTGTCCCCTTTCTGTCTGCTTTTCCCTACTATCTCCAGTGACACAGAGGCCGTGTCTGAACCCCACTGTTCATTCCCTTGGCTATAATTTCCTCTCTGATTTCCAGGTTTCTTCATTTTAAGTTTCTCAGTGTATTGGTCAAACTAGGAGAATGTGATGAAAGGAAGAGGAAAAGAAAAGGAGCAAAGCAAGCCCAATGACTCTTGGTTAAATTGATGAAGACTCAATATCAATTCATTTGGGAAAATAACCAAACTGCAAAAGCATATTCTTGCAGCTTATTCCCCAAAAAGTTGGGATAATCCATTTGAAATTCAGCAAATATCTTTACTGTTGGGCTTTCAATACTCAATTATATTAGTTTGGGGTATATGTACATTAATATGGTATATCTTCATTATCTGACATACCCTTTCTTCCCTCTCTTGCCTTCTTGTCCCTTCCCTTGAGCCCCTTTCTCATCTCCAAAAGGTCTAGCTATTTACTACCACCTCTCCTTTGCTTTACTCCTTAACTTATTTATATTTTTAGCTTCTAAAATAAGAGGAATTATGTGATGTTTATCCTTCTTTGAAAGATTATTTTTGATTAATAATATAGTCTCAAAATCAGTCCACTTCCCTACAAATGATTCAAATTCACCCTTCTTATTATACAGATTTAACACAATCTGTTCAAAATACCACTCACATATCTCACAGAACTAGACAAAACATTCCTTAAATTTATTTGAAAACAAAAAAGACATAGAATAGCAAAAGCAGTTCAGGGCAACAAAGGTAAGACAGGAGGAATCACAATCCCTGACTTGAAATTATACTACAAAGCTACTGTGATAAAATCAGCATGGTACTGGCAAAAATAAATAAATAAAAATAGACCCAAGGATCAATGGAGCAGATTAGAAGATGCAGGCACAACTACAAACACACTCAGCTACCTTATCTTTGACAAAAGGGGCCAAACATATTCACTGGAAGAAAGATAGCTTCTTTAACAAATGTTGCTGGAGAAACTGGCTTTTCATTTGACAAAGGCTAAAACTACAGCATGTCTATCATCATGCACTAAGCTAA